GCATTTTTAGAGGTTAGGTTCATTGAAGGTCTTCCTGATCTCTCATCGTCTTCCAGTGATGTTCTTCCGCTCTTGAAGCACGAGTGCCACTCAAAACACCTTGAACGATTAATTGCAGCATCGCTGTAAACTTGGCATATCATGTCAAATGTCTTTGTGGCAGATCTTCCCAGTTTCGCGCAGAATTTCACATTTGCTCTTTGTTCTAGTTTGCTGTCCATGATAAAATAGCAGACGTGGTAACACACGTGGTGATAATAGCACCAGTTGCACAGCTCCCAATGTACACAGGACGATGTCTTTTGGCACACTAACTTATGAAGGTCGTTGCTCCCTGTGAATGTGCCTGCAGCCTTGTGCCGCCATCTGCTGGTGTGTTACAAAACTAGTCTCGAAACGTTTTGATAGCACCTCGTATATATCAATAATACAATTCATAATGGAAACAAGCATGATACAATACTAATCATAATCATAGGCCAGTGTTCCCTCTGTCTACGCGTTTCTTGAGTGAACCCCACTTATTCAGGACAAAAGGAACCCCATATATTAAGATGTTAAATTTTTACACATGTCCACCTGGTATAATTGTATAAAAAGTAGATAAACTACACAACAAATATATCATACAACCATATGCACATAAATATTGGTGTTCCTTTGTCCTCTAGAAGCAAGGTTCACCCGAGAAACACTAAGACATAGTGGACAGTGGTCTGTGATTATGGTTTATGTTGTATCATGCCTCATCCATCTGATATACCCATATAAGGTTGTGTTATTACACTTCTGTTGTAGTTTTGTACATATGTGAGATTTTTTTTAGCTACTAGGATGTACTAGAAGGGTGCTTTCACACTCACCTGCTGCAGTTTGGCCGCAATGTGGGTGCAGCACAGTGTACATTTGGCTTTCCTGTGGATTACCTGTGTTTTTCCATAGACCTCTATTACATTGGGCATATTTGGTGCGTTTTCTGAAAGCACACCAAAAGTCCTGCATGCTGCATCTTTGCTGCACTTTCAGAAAATGCACCAAAAATGCACATCTAAAAGAAGTCTGTGGGAAAGTGCAGGTAACTTGCGCCAAAACCAGGGATACACTTTGTTGCATATGCACTGTGGCCAAACCGCAGCAGATCGGTATGAAAGCACTCTCAGGTTTTAAAAGTCTTTCTATACAAACAAAATTATTCTGTTTTTTAGTTTTAAGTTTTTGTTTGCTTCTGCTGATGTTGACACACTTGACTACCTCAATATTTGAAAATGAGAATTGATCACTCCAAGGCTGCTGCACTAGGCTAAATTGGGACCGGTTCCTGAACATGTGACCACCATGGCAACCAATCAGGCAGACCTTCCCATCCCCTAGGCATAACAGTCCAGTAAAAGGAATGCTGGGACTCAGTGGGAGGGAATTAAACAGTCTCCCTTCACTACCAGAGCCATTTTTGCAATTTTTGGCAAACATATTAATCCCTTGGCGCCAGGAGGAGGGGTGGGGTTTAGGGTCATGTGACCGCCGTGACACGCCATCATGGCGGTCACATGATCGGGAAAGGTCCCGATCGAAAGAGGAGATCGGGACCTTTCTGTGAGTACCGGACATGTGTGCTGGGAGCGTGCAGGGCGTGCGCTCCTAGCACATATGGTTTTCTTAATTGCACGCAAATGTTTGGCCGCTCGACATCAAGGCCCAGACGCCGGGAGGCCGCACATTTGCGTGCGGCAAGCGCCAAGAGGTTAAAATGCACATTTTAGGCCTGGAGATTAGTTAAACCTCAAAAAACGATATATTTATAAAGAACCCGGAGAATAAAATGGTGGTAGCTGCAATTTTTTAGGTCATGATATTGGTGAACATTTATTGAATGCCATTTTTTATTAATTTTATTATTATTTACATTTTTCCCCTTCTAAATGTATTTTTCATGTATTTTATTGCTATCACATGGGGGCTACAAAACCCCCTATGTGATAGCACAGGCTGGTGACAGGTTCTCTTTTTGGAGACATCAAGGTTCAGCCCCCATGTGAAAAAATAAAGAAAAATAAAATAAAGAAAAATCTAATAAAATTAAATAACATTAAGAAAAAAATGTAAAATATTGCACAGCCCCCATGTACATACACAATATACAAATGTAAACTCATGCGTTGGGTGCAGCTACATACACAAATGACAGTTGCTGTATACATTTTAGGTATAGCCATGCACACCAGAGTGAGAACAATCATTCTAGGCCAATCATTCACAGTTAACTCCAAACTGATGACCTGAAAAGCTTTTTTAAAGTATCACAATATTGGGCACCAAAGTTTGTCTCCATTTCATGGTGCATGCAGTTTTAAGCCTTGACATGTGTGATTATTATTATTATTATTATTATACAGGATTTATATATTATTATTATACAGGATTTATATAGCGCCAACAGTTTGCTCAGCACTTTACAATATAACGGGAGACAATACAGCAACAATACAGTTCAATACAAGAGGGATAGGAGGGCCCTGATCCTTGGAGCTTACAATGTAAGAGCAGGGGTGGACTGACCATTTGGAAACTCGGACACTGCCCGAGGGCCTGGGGTCAGTAGGGGGCCCCATGAGATGCCTCTGGTACCTTTTTCATAGGCTCTTTTGAGTTTGGGCAAGGACACAGGGGCTCCATGATCCCCTATTGCCCGGCGGCCCCATGAGTTGTCAATCCGCCCCTGTGTAGGAGATATGTATTTACTCAATGCATCCTCATCCTTTACATTTTACCAAAAATGAGGTAGTATATTGTGTCTTTGCACACTGTGTATGTTAACTTTATTGTATTTTTTACTGAAAATATGGGTTTGATAAATGTGCAATAATATCATGTCACCTAAAAAATTGCAACAGCCACCACTTTTTTCTTCAGGGTCTCTGTTTTTAAAAAAATGTATAAATTTTGAATTTTAAATACATTTTTAGCAAAAAAAGATACAGATTTTACCCTGTGTAAAAAAAAAATAAAAAATTGCTTTGGAAGAGAAGTGGGTAAATTACATATCACACATTTGAACATATGGTGTTGTCTTACCTTAAAGCTAATCTCCTTTTCTAATGTGCAACACATGTGGTATTTTTTCTCATTAACGGAGACAGTGAATGCCACGGAAAGCCCTTGTGATAGATCCGTTGTTCTGTACTTCTGAAGCACAAACTCTTTTTGATCTGGCAAAATATATATTAGTTAATGTAATGCTTGCAGCAGTAATTCTTCCAATTATATTATCTTTGATTTAAAGTGTATACAAACAATGATCTTCTCTTATTTGCTATTATTTGTTAAATTTACAACATAAAGTGATTTGTTACATCTGTTTGATAAAATTTTCAGCTTTCAGTGCTGTCACGCTTTGAATGACAATTGCGCGGTCATGCAACACTTTGCCCATATGAATTTTTTTGTATTTTTTTTGAGACAGATAAAACTTTATTTTGGTGGTATTTATTCACCAATGGGATTTTTTTTTAGCTATATAAATGAAAAAGTCCAGACATTTTGAGAAAAAAAATGTTTTTCTTATCCAATTTTGCAAATAAATAATCTTTCTTCCTAAATCTTGGCCAAAATGGAACCAATCGCCTCCAGCATCGCCCAGGACTGAGACAACATGGAACACATCAGGCTGCCGAAGTCCACAGACAGATTTCCTGGACGGATCACTGCCACATAGTGGAATTCTGCCCACCCAGAGGGATACCATCCACCAGGAACATACAGGGGGATCCCCAGAGAAAGAGGACCACCCACACCAGCCTCATACTACTCAATAACAGAGGGAGGACCACCTACTATCAGATGACATCAGGATTCTTTATGCACAAAAGCGCATTTAATATGCGCGTCCGGTGAGTGCGCATTGTCTTATCATTACAGCACGGATACCGGACTTTAATGTCACCTGAGCACTACAATCACTTTATTGACTTTCTGGATCGCATCTCCACTTGAACATACACACACACACACACATATATATATATATATATATATATATATATATATATATATATATATATATATACACACACATAGGGTTCTAGATTTACTAGGGATCATTTATCTACACCCATCCTATCTTATTGATTTTTTATTGATTTTTTACTGATTTTATATTGTTTTTAACAATCTCTTGGTTCATTTTAGCGCTGCACTTTATATACATTAATGATCTTCTCTTAGTTGCTATTATTTGTTAAATTTACAACATAAAGTGATTTGTTACATCTGTTTGATAAAAGCTGAAATATATCTGCTGACCTTGTAAAAAAATTCAGAGCTGTGCCCTTTCTAGGAGTTTAATTAGCCTGAGTAATTCTTATCTTGGGACTACATGTCAGTCTCAATGTTGTGGAGAACAGAGTAGGGAGAGGGTTTAACCACTTCAAGTCCGGACACTTTTCACCCAATTTTCAGCTTTCAGTGCTGTCACACTTTGAATGACAATTGCGCAGTCATGCAACACTTTACCCATATGAATTTTTTTGTATTTTTTTTTTAGACAGATAAAACTTTATTTAGTGGTATTTATTCACCACTGGGATTTAAATTTTTTTGCTATATAAATAAAAAAGTCCAGACATTTTGAAAAAAAAATGTTTTTCTTATACAATTTTGCAAATAAATAATCTTTCTTCCTATATCTTGGCCAAAATGTATTCATCTATCTTTTTAGTAAAAAAAAAAATAACCCAAAGTAGTTTATAACCAAAAATTATAATTTGTAAAAAATGTTTTACATTTTATTTTATTTTTTTTTATATTATTATTTATTTATGTTTTTTTTTTTAACATACTGTCACCCTAGCAGTACAGTGTCACCATAGTGACACTGTACTACTTGTGGGGGTGATGAACATTTTTTTTTCTTTTTTTACACTGATGCTTTTACACCCATAAGGCTGTAAAAGCAATAATAATTTCTCCTTCTCTCTGGCTTCATTCTTTCAGCCATTGAGAAATACTGTGTGAGCTGTGATTGGTCACAGCTTATCACATGGTACAAGGTTGTTGTGAATAGCCTTGTACCATGTAACCTCTGTGATCATTCACAGATTTCACTAGTAGTAAGCAATGATGTCAGAAGTGACATCTTGCTTACTACTATTCATGTGATCACTGATTGGCCGTACGGCGATCAGTGTCCTCCGGGCACAGCGGGCACCGGATCGCGGCGCCGCACGCTCCCAGGGAGTGAGCATAGTCAGTGAGTGAGGAGGCTGTTTATAAACGGCCACCCGCTCCTGCTCTGCTCCCGTGTCCGGCCGTTTATGTACATGGATTGGATGGGAAGTGGTTAATTCGTTTAGCAAAATTCACTGGGCAGGGCTGACACCACTCGGTTCACAAAAATGCTGTGTAATGTTAGACCATAACAGTTGCTAAGTACATTTCTGAGAGATCAATTGGATATTTTTCTGTACTTGCAGGGTCTTTAACACTTTCCGACGGACAGTATGCAGATTTGTGGACTCACTGAAATGGGTCTTTGTCTTCCTGTCTCAGGTCACCCAATTACTGTGATAGCCTCTGATTGGCTATCACAGTGATCAGACATTGTGTTTACTCCCTCTTCTGAATGAAGAGAAAGATAGTGTATCTTTCATTCCTAGCAGGAGAGAAATAAACAAAAGTGTGTAAAAGAAATAATAAGAAAAATAAAAATAAAGAAAAAAAATAGCTGTTGGGGTTGAGGTAATAAATGGTCAAATTATAATACTTTGCAGTGCTTAAAACTATATATAAATAAAAATATATGATATGAAAATAAACCAAAACACCCGTGACAATTAAGTGAATAAAATTGTGGTAATATTTGGACTGTTCACTCCTTTGATTCACTTAATTGTCACGGGTGTTGTGGTTTATTTTCATTTATATTTTTATTTATATATAGTTTTAAGCACTGCAAACTATTATAATTGTATCATTTTGGTGTTTTTGTGGGGGTTTTTTTGCTAGCAGCTAATTATAATCACTGAGCGCTGACTTTGTATTTCAATGAATGCTCAAAGGTCAAGGTCAGGGTCAATATATTTTGAATCTTTTTTTAAAAAAACATTTTTTTAATTAGTATCAGTGTCAGTGTGTAGACAAAAAAAAAGCAAAATGTGCACCATTGTTTCTGGGCTCTACTATGGGTATAAGCAACAACTAACATACACATATGTGGTATTCCTGCAATCATTGGGAGTAGGAGAGTTTATTTTGGGTTGTTCTTTGGTAGTAGATTATGGTAACAGCAAGAAATATACATCTAAATAAAAAAAAATTAAAAAAGTTTTTTTTTAATTAAGATGGAACAGTTTTCCTTTGATAATAAAAAAAATTCAGGAGATATCCATTACCAATTACCACCAAATAAAAGCTCAATTTGTCCTGAAAAAAAACAAGGCATAATCAACCTGAATACACAAAGTAGTTGCAATGATATGTACAGTTTAACTAACACTTGTGAAAGTTGCAAAACTGTGTTTAGGCATTACCATTTGTTTTACCCTCAGTCACTAAGGGGTTAAAGGAAATAAACATGGTGAAACATACATGCATTGCTAAGAAGTACAGCATATGTTTTTTGTTATCTTTGTTTAGACAAAAACTTTAACCACTTGAAAATTTACTCCCCTTCCTGACCAGGCCATTTTTTTAACTGACAATTGCGCAATCATGCAATGGTGTACATAAATTAAATTTATGTCATTTTGTTTTCTTACAAATAGAGCTTTCCTTTGGTGGTATTTTATCACTGCTGGGTTTTTTTTTTGTTTTTTTTTTGAGCTGGAAACAAAAAAATATAAATATCAAAAAACAGCGGAAATAATTCACATTTTATCTAATCACCATACAAAAAAAGGTATATCAATATATGATAATAATCATAGTCCCACTCAAACATAAATGAAGAAATATGTGAAAAAAATTATTGATCACAAGTGCACAATATGATAGTAGAAAAAAACAAAAAAAGTCCTTTCTCCATAAGGATGTGCTTCCACCAAGAATAGTGCTCAAAACAAAAATATACCGCACTCACCAGATTCTGGTGAGATAAACGACTTTTAGGTATTTTTTTCGTTTTTTTGAACGCACCAAACTTGCGTGCAGACATCGATTTTATCTTTCAAGCGTAAAACGCTTGTAAACGCATCTAAACGCAGCAAATCGTGTTTATAAGCGTTTGCGTTTTTTAACTCTTCCAGTTCCCAGTTCTGTCCAGAGCCTTTTTTCATCATGAAAAATGCATGCAAAGAGTTTTCAAGGTGCTCAGATGGACAAAACACTGAACACAGGATGTTCCTACCAAGCTTGTCACACATTGCAATGACCAATTCATTCCTCAGACCTCTCCCACCCTTGGAAACAAAAGAAATGTTAAAGCCCATTCACACCTCAAATTCCTCATGAAGACCCCCTGCCAGGTGGCCTTAATGACTCACTCCAGCCTTTCCCACCCTTGGAAACAAAAGATATGTTAATGCACATTCACACCTCAAATTTCTCATTAAGACCCCTTGTCAGGTGGCCTAATTGACCCTAACCACCAGACACCTTCCCACCCTTGGAAACAAAAGAAATGTTAATGAGCAACTCACACCTAATTATCTCAACACATGCTGCTGTCTCTGCTTCTAATCTGTGTATTTCTCTGAAACATTCTGAAATAGTTAATAATTTACCACTTTTCAGTGCATTCTGGGCATTTGGGAGGTTCTCCTGTGCTTATCTTTAAAAAATACTTCTAAACGCAAACGCGCATAAACCCGTATGCAAACGCAGCTAAACAGATTTGCACAATGCAGCTGCCCTATAGCAGTATATCTCCTATGGAGCAGCTGGCAAATATTTAAAACAGAAAAGAGAAGATTTAGGTTCCCCATTCCTACATTATCTGTTATCCGATGGAAATTCTGCTTTCTATCTCTGAGTCTGCTCAAAGCGGAAATACCCAGTTCCACAATTGCAATTTCATCTACAAAAAGCCACTAAAGTGCAATGAATATGTAAACAGTTATCCATATAAGCTGATATTTAAAGGATAAGTTCACCTTTTTGGGCAGAATTTCATATTCCATAATGTATAGAAGTGATTTTCAATGCCATTTCTGAGGCTCTGAAACTTTTTTGGGAGCGAAGTTACACGCAGTTTTTGGTGCGTTTGTCGCACTTTGGGTGCCTTTAACACGTAATGACAACACAAACATGATGCACATTTGCAGCGTGTTTCTGACATGCATGGCAAAGTGTGCATTTTCTGTGTAGTTTGGAAACACACAGATGTAAATGGAGCCTCTTTGTTCTTGTGTAGAAAAAACTATTTCACTTTTAGGCCTCATTCACTCCTAGAGCAGTGGAAGTTCATGTTTTTTGGCTGGTTTGGCATCCTGTTGTTTTCAATGGGCTGTGCTACACGTGGCAGAGTAGCTCATGGGACATTATGACATGGTGGCAGTTGCGCTTTTTTTTACTGTGCGTTTTGCTGCATTTGTCATCCGTTTTTTTTGTACGTGGCAAAATGTGTATTTGCTTCTATGTTTGTTTTCGCGTTAACAATTAGTGACACTGAAAGCGCAACTAGGTAATTTTAGGTGTATAAATGTGGCCATACACTATGCAATCTGATTATACAATCTTTGTACAATCTCTTTTAGATTTACTAAAACTATATAATAGGAGGACACATCATCTATGCAATCACTCTGTATCCAATCAGGCAGGTTCTTGTACAACATCAGGGATGTCTGCATGCAGCCCCAGAGAGTTTAACGTGCGACCTGAGCCTGTCTGAAGGAACGCTGAGGAAGCCAGGCATATGCACATGTGCAGCGATGCCGGAGATGCTGTGAAAAAATAGTTGATGGGTGAAGGATGTGGGTTTTTAATGAGGTCAGTGCAGGATGTGTGCGGTAATGAGGTCAGCTGGTAAATTCCTTCCTGTGTCTTACTGGCTTCTCTGTCCTAAACCTACATACCAGCAAGTGATGCAGCTTTCTAAGAAACACAGCAAGGACCAAGGTAAGGCCTTGTTCTCAAAAGATAAAAAAGCTTTTATTTTTCTGCAACCGAGGTACATTAATGGTATATTGGTACATAGGGGAGATGGATTTTAGGGGGAAAAAGGTGAACTTAGCCTTAAATCTAGTCAACATTTAGCAAAATGATCAAAGGTGAAAATGAAAAAAAGCTTTGAAAAAAAGTTTTTCTATTGATAAATAATAAAAAGTATACACACTTGGAAAAAATTGGTAAAAATTAATGCCCCTTGTTTTAATTTGGGGAATAATTGGGACCTCTGACACCTTAGCTACATAACCACCCTCTCTTTCTCACTCCTGAGATTGACTATGGACTATGGACTGTGGACCATGGATGTGTATCGTGCATAGAGGATGCCTTCAACTTACAAGCCGACCTCAATGCACTGTTTAATTGGGCAACTATGTGGCAAATGAGGTTTAATGTTGATAAATGTAAGGTTCTGCACTTGGGGGCTAAGAATATGCATGCATCATACATACTGGGGGGGGGGTTACAACTGGGGGAATCAATGGTGGAGAAGGATCTGGGAGTTCTGGTAGATCACAAGCTTAATAATGGCCTGCAATGCCAAGCTGCGGGTTCTAAAGCGAGAAAAATCCTCTCTTGTATTTAAAGAGGTATAGACTCCAGAGAGAGAGATATAATTTCCCCCGGTACAAATCATTAGTAAGACCTCATCTGGAATATGCAGTTCAGTTTTGGGCACCAATTCACAAAAAGAACATTGGGGAACTGGAGAAAGTACAGAGACGGGCAACCAAACTGATAAGAGACATGGAGGAGCTCAGCTTTGAGGAAAGATTAGAGGAACTGAATTTATTCTCTCTTGAGAAGAGGAGATTAAGGGGGGATATGATCTCCATGTATAATACATAAGGTACATAAGGGGGGATATGATCACCATGTATAATACATAAGGGGGGATATGATCTCCATGTATAATACATAAGGGGGGATATGATCTCCATGTATAATACATAAGGGGGGGATATGATCTCCATGTATAAATACATCAGTGGTTCATATAGTGAACTCGGTGTAGAGTTATTCACCCTGAGGTCATCACAGAGGACAAGGGGGCACTCTTTACTTCTGGAGGAAAAGAGATTTAATCTCCAAACACGGAAAGGTTTCTTCACAGTGAGAGCTGTGAAAATGTGGAATAGACTCCCTCAAGAGTTGGTTCTGGCCAGCTCAGTGGATTGCTTTAAAAAAAAGTCCTGGATTCTTTCCTAGATACACAGAATATAACTGGAACCATTTGTAGTACAGTTGATCCAGGGAATATCTGATTGCCTCTCGGGGGATCAAAAAGTCCTGGATTCTTTCCTAGATACACAGAATATAACTGGAAACATTTGTAGGTAAAGTTGATCCAGGGAATATCTGATTGCCTCTCGGGGGATCAGGAAGGAATTTTTTCCCCTGCAGGAGCAAATTGGATCATGCTTTGCTGGTTTTTTTGCCTTCCTCTGGATCAACTGTGGGTGTAGGATTATAACTTTTTTTTTAAAATGGTTGATCTAGATGGACTTTTGTCTTTTTTTCAGACAGACTACAGTAACTATGTAACATGACCGCAACTAATGTACACTGCACATTTGAAACAAACAAATGTTAGGCGGGATAAGGGGAGGTTCAAGAGCTCACAAACGAAGACATTTCATGGAGGCAGAAAAAACACAGTAAAAAAAAAAATATGTAAAATAGATTACAGGCCATCAAGCAATGAATGTGTGTGGATTATTTTTGGAGAATGTGGGTATTGTTTAGTGTCACTTTAAAGCCGAGTTCCACCCAAAAGGGGAAATTCTGCTTTAACCACTTCAAGTCCAGACACTTTCACCCCCTTCCGGCCCAGGCCAATTTTCAGCTTTCAGCGCTATCACACGTTGAATGACAATTGCGCGGTCATGCAACACTGTACCCATATGAATTTTTTACCATTTTTTTTGAGACAGATAAAGCTTTATTTTGGTGGTATTTATTCAGCACTGGTATTTTTATTCTTTTTGCTATAAAATGAAAAAGTCCAAAAATTTGGAAAAAAAGTGTTTTTCTTATAACATTTTGCAAATAAATAATATTTTCATCATAAATATTGGCCAAAATGTATTCAGTTTTTCTTTTTAGTAAAAAAAAAAAATTACCCGAATTAGTTTATAACCAAAAATTATAATTTTTAAAAAAACATTTTTTACATTTTTATTTTATTTTTTTTGTATTCTTATTTCTGTTTTTTTTTTTTACATACTGTCACCCTAGCAAGATAGTGTCACCATGGTGGGGGGGTGATCAAGATTTTTTTTTTTTTTTTTTTTTTTTTTTTTACACTGATTGTTTTACACCCATAAAGGCTGTAAAAGCAATCATTTCTCCTTCTGTCTGGCTGCATTCTTTCAGCCATTGAGAAATACTGTGTGAGCTGTGATTGGTCACAGCTTGTCACATGATACAAGGCTTTTGTGAATAGCCTTGTACCATGTGACCTCTGTGATCATTCACAGATTTCACATGTAGTAAGCAATAATGTCAGAAGTGACATCTTGCTTACTACTCTTCATGTGATCACTAATTGGTCAATTAGTGATCACATGATCGGGGCCTCGCACAGAGATCCCATATGGCGATCGGTGTTCCACTGTGTCCAGAGGACACAGCGGGCACCGGATCGCGGTGCTGCATGCTCCCAGGGAGCGCGCACAGTCCAAAATGGCAGGCGCCGTTTATGAACGGCAACCCGCCCCTGGACTGCCACCCCCCGGCTGTTTATATACAGTGGCCGGACAGCAAGTGGTTAAGTACTCCTCCACTGCCACATTTGGCATGCAATTTTTCGGAGAGGCAATGGGTACCAAGTTTTGACAGTTACCTGCTCCCAATTCTGCTTGGATCGCCTAGTTCTTCTCTCCCTCTCCCTCCCTGCAGTCTTTTGGGACACATGTCAGGTCCCAGAAGACTGACGCACCATTTAGGAGGTGCAGCACAACACGCACATTCACAGTGGGCCACAAGCTGTCACAGCCGGGTGCCTACAGTTGAGATGCCTACACCAGGGAGAGAAGAGGGAGAGAAGGGACGGCTCGGTTGAGCACATCGCTAGATCCTGGGACAGGTGAGTGTGTGTTTATTAAAAGTCAGCAGCTACAGTTTTTGTAGCTTAAATAAACACAAAAACGAATGGAGCTCCACTTTAAGGGCTCATGTACACTGCAACTGCTAAACTGACGTTCAGGAGCTGTTCAGCGTCTTTTTCAGCAGCCCCTGAACTCTCTGTAATGTTTTCCTATGTGTCCATGTACACATCGTCATTTACAGGCAGTTGAGTTTGCAGTCGTTTTTTTTAACGCACCAAACTTGCGTTCAGG